TGATAAGTCCAACTACCTATATGTCTCAAAATCTGTCCTTTACATAAACGAAAAGTAATAAACTACGTACAGATTGTTGGTAAGTCCGACCACCTATATGTCTCAAAATCTGTCCTTTTCATAACGAAAGTAACCACAAACAGCTTCTTGAAAACCTTCTTACGCCAAATAAAAAATTTAAAAAAAAAAGATGGTTAAACTGGACTCCATAAGGTGCAAGGATTAACAAGTTGCAAAATCTCTGAAAGAATCAGCCAGGATATTTTCATCTAAATTATGACCTGCACAAATAAAAAGCAATAAGAAACAAATAAATAAACCATGTAACGAGCTCCATCATATAAAACTTTGCTTAAGCTGAGGATTACCAATAAAAACTATCTTGTTCATCCGAGTTTCTCTCTCTTTCCAATCACGAGCTGGAACAATGTCATAGATCTCCTTTACGGCCTGTGAAATTGCCAATAAAAAATTCATCATTTAACACACTATGTATATACGAATACACATAAGAAAAGAAAAAAGAAAAGAAAAGACGAAAGGATTTAAGATGGAATTCTAAACTTCAAATAAGACTCTTTGCATTGACACATGATAATTGAAAATATAGCCTGTAGGTGAAGAAACATGGCCTTGACAATTAAATTAATAACATTGGCATTCTTTTAAGTAGGCCTAGCTCAAGTGTGATCGCTTTTACTCAGCGACATATTTTCCAAAAGGCAGTCAGTAAAGTAAGATAGTTAACACAGGACAATAATTATGGCACAACAGAGACAGCCCACCAAAAGACTTGTAATCTTAGATCTTATGGAACAATATTCAGTTGAAATTCTAAGGGAAAACAGTTGGTGCTATTGAATATGTATCATTTACCTGCAAAGTGTGTAGTTGATTGCAGTTTTGGACACTCAAAACCCCTTTGCAGCGATATACATCCATGTCATATTTCTTATCCCAAAGAATCTCTTCAAGCCATATACGAACCTTGTAACAAGAAATCATTCAATATTCAAATTTGTGCTTAGAAAAGAGAGAGATTATATGTAGATAATAGTATACAATTTCCCAGGAGTTTTTACTTCTTAAACAGAAGTTTGAATACGCTTTATGGTTTATTTTTGGCTCATGCATGCAAATAACTACGAATATGCAAAAGATTCATACGGCCAAGGGAAAGCGTAATATGGAAACTATAAGATAAGAAACTAAAATGTCTTGCAACATAAAACAGCTTCAGCAAAGGGACTAGAATTCATGCATGTGATCTAAAATAAAGCCTGTTTACTAACCAAAATCTAGCCTCTAATTTTAACATAAGTTACAAGTTAAATGCCTTTCTATTGAAAATGTGATTCTTTAAAATAACAAATTCACATCCGAGTGCATGGGGACAGTAATGTGAGTCTTTGCTAGCTTGTCTCACTTTCTGTCTAACCACATTTCCAAGTCGTATAATTGTGCATTGGTTGTCTGACCATGCAGCATTGGTATAACAGCATAAAGAATAATGGTGAAGGTTAAAGCAATCAGACCATTTTGAGAAGCTTTAAATTAAATCCAATAACAAACTGTATCTTTAGCAATATATATATATATATATA